TAAAAAAAAAAATTATTAAGATGTATTAATATGTTTTTAAGGTGTAAGCAAAATAATACTTGATGATTGCAAAAATGCCTTTTCTGGTTAGCTTGTGACGTCAGTGGTTTTATAAACAATGTGAGGTCTTTCATAAGCTATGAGAGCTATAAAATATTTAATATAAATATGTAAGAAATATTTACTAAACAGAAGCAGATTATTGAGTCATACAGGCTGTTTCTGGAGAGGCTGGAATGAGGACGTTTATAGAAAATGAAGGGTGATAAATGAATAGAAGGCAGCCTGGAAGTCCATCAAGAGAGAGATGGAACAGATGAAGACGAATATTTGGCAAGATTTTAGCATTTCATTGTCAAAACATAAATTCTGTTAATGAATGCGCATTATGCCACCTTCTTAATTGTGATATGATGTGCATTCCAGTCATTGTGATTGTTATCAAACAAGCACTTTCAGATTTCTTTCCATCTTTTTAACTGTTTAGAAGTGCTAATACAGCAAAAATAAATGCATAAGAGTGTTTGGCATGATCTGTTCCTGGTTTCACATGGTTAGCATCCTACATTATTCCATATCCCCAGACATTGACCAGTGGTTCAAGCCACAACGACTGTTTACTGTAACTCCAGTGACTTTTTTACAACTTCCCCACATGCATGTGTTTCTCTGTTACCCACGTAACTGAGATAGGAGTCTCCTTTTCGGAAGTGAGGTTTATCTGTTCCTCACTCCCAGCAACTTTCACTCTCCCACAGTAGTGACCTGCCCTTTCTGGGTCGTGTTAACAAAACATTGGCTTTCCTCCCCCCATTCTCCAGTCGATGGTTGATTCCAGTCGTTCCAAGGCAGTTGCACCAGTTCACTTCTGCTTTTTGATTGCTGGTGTCTTACTGCGCTGATGAACGGTGAGTCTTAGTCATCCGTCAATGGCTTTATCTGGTCTGCTGTGAGCTGGACTGGAGTCTGTAATAGCGCTCTATATATATTAGACTATGGCTGTGTTCAAAATGGAATACATACCGTGTGATACTGCACTGTGCATGCTGCATATGCTTTGCATGTTTATTGCCTCTTCCAGCCATCATCTTGTGATTATTTTTCATTTTGACTCTAATTTTAAGTTTTACCAGTCCCATCAAATAATTTAAGGATGTTAAAATCATGGCTGATAACACTGCTGAAAAAAAAAAAAAAGAAGTCTGGTCTGTTGGCCGTTTCTAAATGGATTTTACGCAATTGTCAGTTGGCTGCTCAACTAAACCAGCAAATTACAAGCTTGGTAGACCATCTTAATAGTACTTATAGCTCCATAACTTCCTAACCGTGTGATTATGCAAAATAACTACCTCAAATGCAGGTTAGAAGGATTCTATTTAAATAAAATACATACACCTCTCTCACTATCGCTCACATGATTGTCTGACTCCTGTTCTAGGTTATTCATCACAATGGAAATGGAAGGTCAAGTGTAGTGCATTGCATTGTGAGATACAGTATGCAGTAGTATTGCAGTAGATCATCTTAAGCATACAGACAGTTTGCATACTATGGACAGTAGAAATATATTGTGAAGAAACGTTGGGCCCTATGGCATCGCAATGGAAAATATGTACAGAGTCATGGAATCTGGTCATAGAAATTGAATTTACAGTATAATATGGAATGTGACAGAATTTGGCAAATTTTTGAAGGTATAAATTAAAATAATTTTTTGATTATTAAAATTTTATTAAACAATTGAAACAGCATCCAGAAAAAAAAAATGGAAACAAAAAAAAAAAACACGTTTCATAGGGCCCTAAAAATGTCATTTTTGTTAAACTTTTAATAAACTGATTTTAATAAACTGAAGTATCATGACTTCAATTAATTAGACATGCGTTTTGATTATTAAATTGTATTTAACCATTACAATGGAATCCATAAAAAAGGGAAAAAGGAACCTAAAAATGTATTTTGTGCTAAACTTTTAATAAATTGTTGTTAAATTGTGTAAGTTTCATGATATCAATTATTTAGATGCACTTTTTGATCACTAAAATTTTATTCAACTTTGGAATCCTTAAAAATAATAATAATTATTATTAGGGCTGGGTATCGATTCAGATGTCCCGATTCGATTCGATTTCGATACGCAATCTCTCGATTCGATTAGATTCTCGATTTTTGGATTACATTCAGTGAATATAGTTTTAATACAAACATCCGTTTACAAATGGTGAATTAATGAAACGAAATTAAGAACCACATGCCTGTATTTTAAACCTATTCTTCTTTGTAACATCGCGCAAGATAAATAAGGGTGACATCTAGTGGAGAAGACTAATGATAAGATTCACGTTAATCAGATCTTGTTTTAAATGTGTGCTGAAATAAATACCGGAAAAGATCGATTCGCAGCTTTTGAGAATCGATATCGAATCGGCGTCATTTAATGAAAAATCTATTTTTTTGCCCAGCCCTAATAATAATAATAATAAAGTAATAATAAAAGGAATCCATAAGAATTAAAATGAAAAATTAATAAATGAATCAGAATTTCATAGGGCCCTAGAAATGGTACAGTAGTATGGTATGTAGTATGGTAGTATTCCCAACATAAACTGAATACTGAATTTCACATGATAGCATGTCATGAATGTGTCAGTTGAAAGAGGAACTTCAGTACTAGAGTGCATGGGTGGTTTTCACACCAAGTTGTCCTACATTGTTTTTCCTTCCTCTGAGAAGAGTCTGTGACCTGCCAGCCAGGAATCTGGTGAATCTTGTCCAGACCTCTGGAGGGAATTATTGCGGCTATAAAACCTCCTAAAACAGCACCCCCTTCTCAGTCACGCTCATTGCATTGCAAAGTGTTATGGGAAGCTCTGACAAACAGTTAATTGACTGCTTATGAGGAAACGAGTCAACTACGGGAAAATGTCAAGGCAGTGATTAGCAGTTGTTGAACTGCATGTTTGTGTGGGCTTAGCATGTGCATTTGTTTCACATCACCATGAGTCAGAGTTTTTGTCTTTGTAATCTCATTTAAGGTTTCCTGTAAAAGCCCACTGAGGAATAGCTTACTGAAACTCCAAATCATTTATTCAACTGAGACACAAACAGCCGAGATGATTGAGTGTGGCGTTCCGGCTGAACTTTAAAACATGTTGTGCAAAGGGCTCCTGTTGCTTTCTTGTGTCTTGCTCTAAACCATATTGGTGTGTGTGTAAAACCTTAAATAGAGTCATCTGTCTTAAGACTAAGGCTTTTAGCAGATGAAAGTAATGTATGTAAAGTGTTTGTATTAAAAACCAACAAAAATTGTTGGCATTAGTAAGACATTTTTATTTTTTTTCTTGTAGATTCTATTCATCCTTATATAAAAATTTCATTTTATATCAAATTTTGAGTGAATATTGAATAAAATGTGTTCATTTAATGTAAGTTTGTGTATGCTTCATTTGGATGAGTTCGTCATCCAGCTCTTTAGATATCTGCATTGTCATTGGTCACTCAAAAGGAAAGATACTCACAGGAACAGAAAGTTACAAATAGAATCTCTGGAGACAGAAAGCTGTGCACAGAAAGCCAGTGGAAACATTTTCTTCCTGAGAAAAATACACTAGTCTCACATTGTTTCTTTTAAAGTTGACTCTTAAATAAAAGAATTGAGAACTCCATCAAGTCTCCAAAGATTTAAAAAAGCAAACACCGAGCTGCACAGTTCTCCTCTGGGTAGATCTCTGTGTCTTACGTCTGTTGTATGTTTAGTTAGCTAGACTTTCTGGACAAATTTGCCTGCAGAAGTTAAACAAAACCTCCAGGGACATTTTCAGTTGGACAAACAACTGATAAAGCAAACATGTTTTTTATTTTAGAAATGCACAGTTGGTTAGTCAGGACTATTTGTGCTTATTAAATTTTTATATTATAATATATATATTAATATATGAAAGTCTATGGTTGCTCTAATTTAGATTCATTAAGTCATTGTGTGTGAGAGAGATTCTCTCTCTCTGTCTTGTTTAGTCTGCTCTTGTTAGGTAACCTGGGTAGGAGGTTTTGCTCTAGGCCAGTGCGTCTGCGGTCTACATGGCTGTCAGCGCAGTCAGGGAGATTTCAATAGACGGCGTAAATAAGGTTAGATTTAACTAAGAGTGGCTGATCTCTGTGGGGTAATGCTTATAACAGTGAGACTTACACAGCAAAGTGCTGCCCTCGGGTGAAGATTAGCCGCCTCTTCAGTTGTGAACAGTGAGAGTCGTGTATGTGTGTGTGCAAATGTGTAAATTAATTCCTCTCTGACATCCAAGATGGGGGTGAAAAAACAAGGAATCTCCCCCACCCAACATTCATCTCCATTTCACACTCTCTTGCAGTATCTCTTGTCCTCAGACTCTCGCCTCAAGGCCTTTAAAAAGGTTTTCTGTTGATTCTGTGGGAACTTAATATAAAGAAATATAAAGAGTGTAAACAGGGTCGATTTTGATTTCATGGTGCGTCTTTCTCAATTGACAGCTACTTTAAAGTGGCTGTGTGACATATTTTTTTTCCGCAAGCCACATATAAATCAAAAACATTTCTTTAGTAATCCAAGATGGGGGTGAAAAAACAAGGAATCTCCCCCTCCCAACATTCATCTCCATTTCACACTCTCTTGCAGTATCTCTTGTCCTCAGACTCTCGCCTCAAGGCCTTTAAAAAGGTTTTCTGTTGATTCTGTGGGAACTTAATATAAAGAAATATAAAGAGAGTAAACAGGGTCGATTTTGATTTCATGGTGCGTCTTTCTCAATTGACAGCTACTTTAAAGTGGCTGTGTGACATTTTTTTTTCGCAAGACACATATAAATCAAAAACATTTCTTTAGTAAATGTTCTACCAGTGCCGGATTGTTTTGGAAGGTCACTTAAAACAGTGAAAAGGACTATTTTCCCCTGTCTGCTGTTGTTCACATTCAGGTTTGGTGTACATCGGCCTTTAGGGCTAACAATACTACTCTCTGTCCCTTTCAGATGTCTAATTACAAGCGTGCGACGTTTGAGGAGGAGGACGGGTCAGACATCCCTGCAGATGGAGCCATCTCTCCTGACAGTGTGGAGGTGAGTGTGAGTCGTGGCTCAGTGTGGATGGGCACATTTTGTGTTTACATTTAGATGTTTTTATCCAACTCCACATACAAATGAGGAAAGCAATAATTTAAGCTGTTAGTTCTACAGAGACAGTGAGAAGTTATTACTGTTGCACAATTCCCCCGAAAAATACACAGCAAAACAACAATTGCTGGGTATTTGTGATGTGCTCTGTGAATTTCAGCTGTTTTCTGCCTGGTCGGATGCTCTTACCGCTGAAAATATAGCTGACAGTTGTGTTGAATTGCTAGGCTAGTAGGAAAGAAAATCTGTCTTGAGTTGGTTGTGACGTTCTTTCTTCCAGGCTGAGATATCCAGGCAATTTGAGATACACACAGACACTGTGAGAACATCAGATGAAAGGGTAAAACATAGCAGTAGTTGGAAATTCTGACAATCACACTTCAGTATAAAAGTTCCATAAGGGGGCTTTCACAGCAGTGCCATAGAAGAACCACTTTAGGTTCCCCAAATAACCTTTTAGTGTGTCAACATTTTCTGTACATTAGAAAGCTTTCATGGATGTTTAAGGTTGTTCATGGTACCATCATGCCAAAAAAGAACCTTTATTTTTTTTAAGTGTGTAGGTCTCATGGTTTGTAAATATTTGGAGAAGAGGAGGGGGCCAAGCACCGAGCCTTGAGGTACACCAGTGGTTAGCTGATATTACATAGATACTGACTGCTTCGCTCAAAGTCAGCATACAGAATCTCATGTCCAATGTCTAGAGGGTAGATAGGAGGATATTCTTAGTCACTGTGGGTAGGGTCCAGCAGAATGAAGACATCTCTTCGTGTGAATTGTTTTAGACATTTTTGTGTACAGTTATCATTCAGTCATTTTCTTTCAAAGTTGTAGAACTCTAATTCTCTTTAAGCAGAAGTATCATGGAAAACATGATTTCTTCTTGTTCTTTTGCAGTTCAAAAATGTGTTGAGGTATTTCACAAAACTTCCTCTCCAGTGGAGCAGACCAAATTAATCCATACTAAGCTGTTAAAGCCAGGAAAGTGGAAATTGTCAAAGATAATATGTCACTACCATTACACCATTAATGTATTACCACACACATTTATAGATCAGCCTATTCAGTATTCAGCAATTTGACCCCAGTGAGCAACAGTATTTTGATATGTGAAGATTAGCCAATTATAATAGAGCTCATTAATATAAGAAGTCATAAATGTACAGTAGAAAAACTAGACATAAATGGTTCAGTGCTTATTACATAATGACTCATGACTAAATGAGCAAACATCTTGTGGATTTGGAACTAATTCATTTTTTAAGTTATAGAAATGCAGAATGGATCTGAGCAATTATCCAGTATGAGTAATGTTCTCAAAACACAGAAATCCTGTATCGCCACCTTTTAAAACTATTAAATGGTGGATACTGTATACTGTATGGGAATTGGAAAGAGAGCACAGATAACAGCATGAGAAATATTCAGCAACCTTTTTTCCAGTATTTTTTTCTGCTGTAGACATATTGTTATACCTTTTAACTGAAGAAAACAGCAGGTCAGATTTCCAGGGAATTTCCTACAATGAATTATGAGTGACATCTGATATTAATTCATATCGATTCATGTGGCCCCTTTCATTTGCTGCTCACTTTTATGTCAAACAGGAAATGTGACACCTCTTCTGTTGGTTTGCCGTGAAAGCAATGATATGACACATGTATCTAATACGGTATCCCCAGGCAACTTGTTCTTTGTTCTGTGGGTGTTGAATGATGTTAAGAGATGTGCAGTATATTTTGAAACAAAAAAAACGGATGGGATGTTCCCAGTGTTTCTACTCAAGAAGACATTGCTCTTTTTTGAGAAGATCTTTATGAGATCTCTCAAATATATATAAATAAAAACGGTAACGCTTTAGATTACAACCCGCAAAGAACTATGTAAGTATACTGAATTTATGGTGTACCTTTCTGTAATTATAGTGTACCTATACATAATGTACGTGTAGGTATAAGGGAACAATGTGTTACGTTTGGGTAATAAAGGGGTAACAACCAGATATGCAACCTGCAAAGAACTGTGCAAGTAAACTGAAGTTACAGCATAACTTTTTTTTTATTATAGTGTACCTATTCAGTACCTCTGTGTAGGTATAGGGAATAATATGCTACGTTTGCGGAATAAAGGGGTAACAACCTGTAAAATTTCAAATCATTTATACTGTAAGTATTTTGAAACCTATTCTAATATTACATGGTACGCATGGCCTAAACAACAATCTTATGTTTGGGAATGATTTAGAAAGACGATATACTTTTTAAAAATAATTTTATATTGGTATTTTATTATAGGCCTAGGTATTTTAACCATTCTATTATTAAAGGAAACATGATGGCGATTACAGCTGTTCGCAGAAAAAATACATGATACAACATTTGTATTTCAGGGAATGTATACTGTGGTGTTTTATAGCAAAAAAAAAAGTAGAGGGTTTAATTTGGCCATCGGACAATTAAATTAAAACTATTGCAATATTTTTCTCTGTAATTACTGTGCAAATATAAACTTGTTCTGTGTTTAAGTCCAACTTGTTCCTCCCTTGTTCCATGTAGTTACAGTGTAAATACAACATTTGTGGGCTGTAAATTAAAGTGGTGCTTGTTCCCCCCTTGTTCCATGTAGTTACAGGGTAAGTGGCTACAACAATTGCTCTGAAACGATTGTTTATACATACTTTGATTAGTTCTATCCTATGTTCCCGTCTTAAGCACTGCAGTCACGGATTTCGTTGCACACAGAACCGTTCACGTTTGAACTCGTGTGACTTGCTGCATGCTCTCATTCACGTCCTCCACATTCATAACCCAGCACCGTCGGGTTACTTATTACTGATATCAACCCAAATTGGGTAAAATCAAACCAGCTTCCTAACCCTACAGTCTCTCAAGCGTTTGGATTGAAACAATTACCAGCGTGTTTTATATGTGTAGCTTATAAAAAAGTGCACAGTGTATGTTTTTGCTAAATCGTTTGCAAATATAAGATTGTTGTTAGGTCATACATACCACGTAATATAAGAATAGGTACCCCCTTAGTTTCAAAATACTTACAGTAGAAATAATTTGTAATTTTACAGATTATTACCCCTTTATTCCCCAAAATTAGCATATTATTCCCTTATACCTACAAGGAGGTACTGAATAGGTACACTATAATTACAGAAACGTACACCGTAAATTCAGTATACTTACGTAGTTCTTTGCGGGTTGTAATCTAAAGCGTCACCATAAAAACATCCAACATACAAACATCCTTTTAATACCTTTTTGTCTACATAGTTTAGGATGAGTACCAGCAAATAGTAACAACTTAAAAAGACTTTATGATCAATATTTGACTCTGTTTTAGGTGGGATTCCGTAAGGGTGGTATTCAGCTGTTTGGTCCACTGGGCAGGAGGACTCAACTGGAAGTAGTGCTGGCCGGACTGCTTCTCGCTTCACTTCTAGCTCTGTTTGGCTGTGCGATCACACTGGGAGTCCGCTATAACAGAGGTAACACACATAGATGCAGTGAAAGTGTAACACACAATAAGTGCAACACACAATAATTTACTGATAAATAAGGTGCTTAGTAACACTGATTAAGTAGGCATGCTTTTAAGACATCAGTTTAGTATATTTATTTAGTATAGAATTTCCCAGGAGTTATTGTGCTTACCCTGTAGATACTTAAAGGGGTCATATGATGTGATTTCAATTTTTCCTTTCTCTTTGGAGTGTTACAAGCTCTTGATGCATAAAGAAGATCTGTAAGTTTCACTCGTTTTTTTTTAAACACGGAAGATCTAGAGAGTTAACGCGCTCTGACTCATAACACTCGCGCACGTGGAAGAAAACGGACACTCCAGATCACATAATTCAATGGAGAATTTAGAAATTATATTAAGAACATGTGAGAATAAATCTGTTCTCAGATACCAAAGATAACAAGAACTCGGCATCCACTCTCTTCTCTCTACTGGCATACTCTTCTTCGGTGTTTCTTTACACTGGTTTTCGAAACAGCGCCATCACTCTCACCCTTTTGTGCAACAGCAGCTGCTCTGGGAACATGATCTAAGCTCAAATCTGATTGGACGGCCCGTTTCATCGTGGAGCGACGGGGAAAAAATCGACACACAGGACGAAAAAAAACGGTGTTTCTTTACACTGGTTTTCGAAACAGCGCCATCACTCTCCCCCTTTTGTGCAACAGCAGCTGCTCTGGGAACATGATCTAAGCTCAAATCTGATTGGACGGCCCGTTTCATCGTGGAGCGACGGGGAAAAAATCGACACACAGGACGAAAAAAAAATCCTCGCTTTTTCGCACCGCGAATGATCGCGCCTAGTGTGAATAAGCCCTATAGGTATCTATTGTTTCGATTCAAAAGCGTCATCGTGTCGAATTTTCGCTTTCAGTGTGAAAAGCCCTTAAGTCATTATAATCAGTAATTATGTCCCCACTGGATGCAACAAATGCCTCGTTTGTAATGGGTTTTATTGGATTTGTCTCGCCGTGCCGGGATACGGCATCACAGACAGTGTGTTAAGGGGCGTAACATTTCCGTCACACGGTTGAGGTATTCAGCCAATCACAATGCACTGGATAGCTGGCTAATCAGCGTACACCTCGCTTTTCAGACTGATGAGCTTTGTAAAACTGACGCGTTTCAGAAAGGCGGGGCATAGAGGAGCAACAATAATGTGGAAAATAATGTGTTTTTTAAACCTTAAACCGCATAAACACATTGCATTACACCAAATAAACAACATAATGTTCTTTTTAGCAACGTCATATGACCCCTTTAAAGAAATAGGGACCCAAAAATAAAAATTATTTAATTATACTGTATATGTATATATTTTACTGACAGTTGTTTCATGCTTGCATGCATTTCTTTCTTCTTAGACCACAGAGAGATTATCTAACAAATATCTAACTGGGTGAATTCAATACAATGGCTATACATCATCATGATTCACTTTAACAAGTAATACATTCATCATGGTTGCATGGTTTAATGCATTGCAAATACTATTTCCTGTTGTCTTTAATCCCCAGATCCCGCCCGTAGTATCTGTCTAACAGAAGCATGTGTAACTGTGGCCAGTAAGATCGTGGAAGCTCTGGACCGCTCCACCGACCCATGTCAGGATTTTTACCAGTACGCCTGTGGAGGATGGGTCCGCAAAAACCCCCTGCCAGATGGTCGGTCCCGCTGGAGCACATTTAACAGCATCTGGGACCAGAACCTGCGAATGGTCAATTGGGTGAATTGAATACAATGGCCATACATCATCATGACTCACTTTAACAAGTAGTATGTTCAAGCGTGTCAGTAAAAAAGTACAGTGTGGCTCCTTGACCATTTTCTGAGTACTCCAGTTAGTTTTGGTGAAAAAAAAAAAAAAGAAATGCTAAAATAATAGCAGCTACCATTGCTCCATCGAATGCTTCACACTCCAGTCCAGTAGGTGGCAGAAATGCACTGGTGCATAAAAAACCCAGAAAAAGCAGGTGAACATTTCTGACACCTAGCTGTACTTTTTTGGCATGCAACTAGGTGGTTGTATTATGGAAATGCGTTCTTTAAAAATGTGTAAACTTGCAATAGTATCGTAACTAGATGCATTTGGGTTCACGCACTTGCATAGACTATGTGCATTTTACTCTAAAGAAGAAAATATTTCATCAAAATGTCTTTCAAGTCCAGTTCGAAAGTCCTGGTGTGAAAATTAAACATTTACATTTTTTTTGAACGAACACCTGTTAATGTATCTGTCCTAAAAGACAAATATTTGCGTGCCTTCAATGTGACAATTATTATTATTATTATTTTTTTACTAATCTCTTTTCCACCGCACTGCGAAAAAAACTGGCCAGTGGATATGATTCACACTTTTGGTCACATATCAGACCCGCTGATTTTACATAAAACTACTTCTTGGTGGCGATTCGAGTGTGAAAATCAGACCAAATCAGACCATTGAAATGGATAAAATCAAGATAATCTGCATAATTTTTTTTAAGTTTTAACGCATTGCAAATACCATGTCCTGTTGTCTTTAACCCCAGATCCCGCCCGTAGTATCTGTCTAACAGAAGCATGTGTAACTGTGGCCAGTAAGATCGTGGAAGCTCTGGACCGCTCCACCGACCCATGTCAGGATTTTTACCAGTACGCCTGTGGAGGATGGGTCCGCAAAAACCCCCTGCCAGATGGTCGGTCCCGCTGGAGCACATTTAACAGCATCTGGGACCAGAACCAGGCTGTGCTCAAACACCTGCTGGGTAAGTGCCGGAAAACACACACAGACACACACACACGTTTATCCTTTTTGTAGGATGGGATTTGCTCAGTAAATCTCATTCAGTGTTCACACAACAGTATATATTTAGAAAGACTTCTAAATGATTTATTTGATTTTCCAATAGAAAACTGCTGCCTTCATGCATTTTGAAGAGTCTTACACTTCAGCTCTCTGTACTGGGGTTGTTTTTGTAGATCCGCTCAGAAACTTCCATCGATTCTGCTCTGTGTGACCTGATTACTTGTTTTCTTGGAGAGCATCCATCCCTGTCTGTTTGTTCAATAAGGGACAATGACTTTCTCCACTCGTTCTGTTTCTTTGACCATAAAAGCCTCCATTAGTCAACCTCTCGTGGATTTACAGTATTGTGCTTGCGAGTCTTGTTTTTATCAGATATACTTTTTAAAGAAATGCAAGATTAGAGTTTCAAAAACTTCCAATGACACTGACATTCAAACTGGCAGTGATGATGCCACTGACTTTGACTTGTGGAGTGATGATAAGTGGTTGTCAGGTGTTATTCTGTGGTTGCTATGGTGTTCTGAGTGGTTGCCAGGGTGTTTCTTAGGTATTAGTGTTCTGGATGGTTTCCAAATTGCTGCTAAATAGTTGCTACTGTACATAGTTCTTGATGATTGCCATGGTGTTGCTAAGTGGTTGCCATGGTGTTCTTGATGGTTGCCAGGGTGTTTCTAGATGGTTGCTACAGTGTTCGGGGCAGTTGCCTAGGTGCTGCTATGTGCTTGCTATGTTCATAGTCCTTGATTGCCAGGGTGTTGCTAGAGTTTTCTCAGTGTTTCCCAGGGCATTACTATGTGGTTGCTAGCTGTTCAGAGAGGTTGCTAAGATAGGGTGTTCTGAGTGGTTGCCAGGGTGTTGCTAGGTCTTTTGCTAGATTGTTCTGGACAGTTTCCATGGGGCTGCTAGGAATAGTTGCTACGAAGTTCTTGATGATTGCCAGGGTGTTGCTAAGTGGTTGCTATGGTGTTTTTGATGGTTGCTAGGGTGTTTGTAGATGGTTGCTACAGTGTTCAGGGCAGCTGCCAATATGCTGCTATGTGGTTGCGATATGCATAGCTATTAAAGATTGTCAGGGTGTTGCAAAGTGGTTGCTATGGTGGAAAATGAAGAAACCAATTAAGAAAATGGTTGCCAGGATATTCTGTGTAGTTGTCAGGGTGTTGCAAGCTGCAAATATGTTGTTTTTAGTGGTTGCCAGGGTGATACTAGGTCACTTGCTAGGGTATTTATGGGATTGCCAAGGTGCTGTTAAGTAGTTGCTGCATAATTCTTGATGATTGCCAGGATATTCCGTAGTGGTTGCTGTGTTGTTCTTGAAAGTTTTCAGGGTGTTGCTAAATGCTAGGATATTCTGAGTAGTTGTCTAGGCATTACATGTTGTTTTCTAGGTTGTTCTGGGTGGTTGCCCTGGTGTTTCTAAATGGCTGCTATGGAGTCTTGGGCAGTTGCATAGGCATTGATAGTTTGTTGCTACACAGTTTTTGATGATTTCTAGGGTGTTGCTAAGTGGGTGCTGTGCTGTTCTTTATGGTTGCCAGGTTATTGGTAAATGGTTGCTAAGAGTATTTTTCAGGGTTAGGCATTGTTAGGAGGTTTGCTCTGGTGTTCTTTGTGGTTGCTAGGTGTTTGCGTTGTGTTTTTTACCTATTTGTAATCCACCAAGCAAACTACATCCTGTAGGTCTGATCGCTTACAAAAATAATAGCACCTCTCCTTAACAAGCCACGTGATTTTACGTAGGCTCATCAATGTCATTCATTACATGCTAAAGTTTTGTATGTAAGTATGATAAATAGCAATATTGATGCTTGCCTTAACAAGCCATGCTAATTAATGGAAAGTCAAGTGTAGGAATCTCATCAATTCCACTGTCCCTCTCCTTCCCTCGCTGTATATCAGGATGCAGATTTTCATTTTTCAAAAAAAAAAAAAAACTTTGCCCATGTTTATTATTTATTGAACTCTCTGTTTATTTATTTGCTGCCTTGTAAGTTCCTGCATTCCCTACAGGAAATGCTAATGTAGTCTCTTTTGCGCTCGAACGCATTGCTTCATTCCTCTCTCTAATTGTTGGTCTGTTTGACTCTGCCTGTTTTATTTAATAAGCTGTTGTGATGCGCTGGCTTTGATCAATCTCTCTCTGTCTAATGAATGCGCTCTCACACTGGGGTCCCTGCGGCCGTTTTGCCCTGATGGCACTCCATCACATTGACTCTGTGTGTTGCATCACCCCCGCAGCCGTCTTCATCCAATCACACGACACTGTTCTCTCACCCTTCTGCACATTTAATAACACTTGCCCTACATGAACATATTTTTGATCTCATATTACTCTCAGATATATGATCCATCTTTTGTGGATTGTGCTTCTTGGAGTGTGTGTGTGATTGGTTGAGTGTGTGCAGCATGAGGTGAACGTAACGCTCTAGCGAACAGTAAATGAAGAATGTTCCCTAATGACCTGCATCAGAGAACAGAGAGAGAGAAAGAGAGGATAGAAAAACAGAAAGGAAGAAAGTGTTGAGAAGGAGTGAAGGGATGAAATGTGGTCACACTAGATTGTAAGCTTGTGAAAATATTTAGACTCCACTGTGAATATGGGCTTCTCTGCAAAAATTATCAAATGTAATTATGACATGTATTATACTCTCATTCAGAGTTACCAGGGCATTGCTAGGTGTTTGAGTTGTTTTGAGTGGTTGCTATGGTGTTCTGGTTGGTTACCAGGGCATTGCTAGATGGTTGCTGGGGTGTTCTGGTTGGTTGCCAGGTTATAGCTATGGTGTTCTGGGTGGTTGCCAGGGTGTTGCAAGGGAGTTCTGAATTGTTGTCACAGCATTTCTAGATTATTGATGATTAGACGGTGTTCTGGTTGGATTGTTACTTGGATGTTCTAGGTGGTTGAGGGTGTTGCTAAGTAGTTGTTAGGGTGTTCTGGTTGGCAGGTCAAAGCTAAGTGGCTGCAGGGTTTTGTGGATGATTTCTAGAGTGTTGCTTGATGGTTTGCTAAGGCGTTTTGGGTGATTGGTAGTGTGTTACTAGTTTGTTAGAGAGTGGTTGCTACACTCTAAAAATGGCTGGGTTAAAAACAACCCAATTTGGGTTATTTTGGCAACCCAGCGCTGGGTCAAAAAGGGACAAACCAGCGCTGGGTTGTTTTAACCCAACAAGTTGGGTTATTATGTTTGACCCAGCATGCTGGGTTGCTTTTTTATGGTTTTATGTATGACCCAGCATGCTGGGTTGCTTTTTTATGGTTTAAAATTACTACACTGCTAGGCTAAAATGAACCCAAATCGAGCTAGACATTAAACCTACAAATCTTGTTCATTTTAAAATCACTTTTACACACACACAGAATGATTATCAAAAGGTAAATATTTATTTAAAATAAGAGAAAACAGCCAAAAGTAACATGCATATAAAAATATTATACAAAAACACTATTATACAATAGTTGTACAATTAGTTAATAGATAAGTTCTTTACAAACTATTCTGGAATGACAGTAAATAAAACACAACATTAACACTGATATTATAACATTTATCAGAAACATATGTGTGAAAGAAGTGGAGTGTAAGTGGAGTGTAAACACTCTACTAAACAACAACACAGAACAAGCATTTAACATTTTGTTTTTTACAAATTATACACTTACAGTTTGTTTCATAGTCCATGAATACAGATCAGGCATCGCTGCCAATTGTCATGCTCTCTTTAGCATAATTGATGTAGTCATGAAGAAGCCCCATCAGCACAGCAAAGGCATGTGACATCTTTTACATTATCCAGGGCAGCCTC